ATCATCATACCTATTTCTTATGCCTTGCTCTACAATTAGGTACATTAGTGAAATAAGATTTTCAGAAAATAAAATCCTCAATACTCTTTACAATCTCATCAAAAAGAAAAGAAGTGAATTTCAACATTTAAAAACACTTTAAATAATTGCACGCTTCAATCGAGGGTTGTTGTCGATTTGAAAATCGTTTAAGCTTCATGTGTATTGTGTAAATGTGGCGACATTTCAACGGCAACGTCTACGAAATTCAACAATGTAGGAAGAACAATGGATATCAATAATTATCATTGGGCTATCGAATATTTTGAGCAGTTTGGCAAATCGCTTTAAGTTCGGAGCAATCTCTATGTCAGAGTAATGTTGAGAATTGTCATAGGTAGGTACAATGTAATTTAAGTATTTTATTTTTACATAACTTGGATCTATACAATAACTAGTAGGTAAACGGCTTCCAATAGCGGTTACCTGTAATCACACTAATATTATAAATGTGATTTGCATGTATATGTATGTTTGTTACTTCTTCACGGTGCAACGGCTGGATGGGTTTGGATGAAATGTTGTACACAAATAGGCTATCCAGAGTACGTAACACATAAGCGAAGAAAAGTCGCTAACGTTGTATAAACTAGAGTAGCTTGGGTCGCTGCAAATAATATAATATAGAAGTTTTCTCAAAATCTACAAATTGTTAGGATTATTCCACTAAAACGTTTAACAATAAAATGAATTTAATAACAACTATATCGAGATGAAGTACTGTATGCGAGGCTGTAACTCTGGCGGCAAGGACCGCCGTGAACAATGCGTCGATAAGCGGATAACATGAGCATTGAGCGCTGAGTGGTTAATGGGCCGTTCCATTACTGCTACACTCGCTGCACCCTCCGCGCCGCCTTCCAGCTACGAGACACTCGGCGCAGGCCACAGAGCCGCGACACGATCTTCTTGAAGCACGACACATTACAAAAGTTACTATATTTGAATTAAAATAGTAGAATGCGTAATGATTTTATACTACGATTTACGTTCGGTGCATCCATTGGTGCCTTTTTGCCACACATTTTATTGCTTTATTTCATACCGTGTAGGCAGCACACGCCGATGTAACAATTTAACGGCCAATTTTTGCCCACTTCAATCAAGTTTATTTATTATATAATTTTTAATTTCTGACAACAAACACATTTTTGTCGCAATAATAATATAAATAAATAATATCACTCGCCGGTACGAGCTTCCTATTAGTTTAAGAATTTTCATAGATTGCCTCACACACAAACGTACAACCTTTATCTCTTTATAATATTATGTTATAGTGTAGACAACGCTGATCACCTATTGATAATTTATCTATTTTATTTTTTACATGGAACACGTTATTACCTATATTACGTTTGAATAATATTCTGTGCCTTCTAGTACTAATAGTAAAATCATTAAAAGTAGTTTTATTTATTTTATAACTTTTTGAGTGATCACTAAAAATAAATAAATAGATACCTAAACACTTTTTAAAATTCATCCCATGATAACTAATCTAACAGTAGAAATATCTTACACCTATAGTTAATTTACAAATATGTTTTTCAGTGTAACTATACAGTGTTGCAGTCGGTAGAGTCGACACGGTGTGACTGCGGCGGGTCGAGGCGGAGCCATCGAGGAGGTAATGCGAAACCACTCAGGACGAGGGCACCGATCTCAAGCTTCGATTTTAAACAATGACGCCAAGAAATGGCATAAAATGTACATTAACGTGAACTCGTTTAGGGTTCACGACACTTGACCGATACGATACAACAATATGGTTTGTGGCACGAGTAGGTACATAATAGTATATTTAAATCTCATTCCATTGAAGCTTTGATGGAATTATACATATCGTTATCTATAGGGTACATATAATAAAATTTTAACTAACCTAATCTGTACATTAAATATTTTTTGGAAAATCTGATTGAAATAGACATTATTATCGATATAGAGTCCGAATTTATAGTTTTTAGAATTCTTGTCTGTCTGTCTGTGTGTCTGTCTGTTACCGCATCACGGAAAAACCACTGAAGGGATTTTGATGAAATTTGATATGACGATAGCTGGTTATCCGGGTCAACATATAGGATACTTTTTATCCTGGGAAAATGTCTAATTTCTGAGAAAAAATACAAAAACTGCAATGTAAGAGTATACTAATATGTAAAACCTAAGAATTTGGTTTTTGGTCATCTAAACGCGGGCGGAGTCGTGGGTAGTGCTAGTTTAAAATAAATTGATACTATAATATTTATTTTATTAATATTAAGCAATATTAACTTCTTGAAAAGAAGATTCCTACCATAAAAAGTATATTCTACTTCGATTTTCCAAACAAATACCTAAGTCGTAACAACATGTACAATAAAGCTTATAATACGTAGTATAAGTCTTAAATTAAATTTATAACGAACAGTGTACTGCATTGTAGGTAGTAGATGCGGCCCTCGAACGTAGTTCCGTGACGACAATAGTCAATGCAAGAGAAATGAGACTTGTCGGTTCTAAAGTAGAGCGATCAAAGTGATCGCTAATGGGCGCAAACAATCGGAGGGCGCGAGGGAGGCGGCGCGGCGGGGGGAGGGGGAAGGGACTAATTTGGCGGTTCCTTCCTTCCGGCAGTCGCAACTCGATCTAATCGGCGACTTCCGACACTTCAGTCCTATTCAATTAAGTGTTCTACAAAAATACTTTGAGTACTATTATATACACTCGATATTTCGAGTTCAACTAAAGTTTTACTGTTTCGATAATTTTACATAAAGTTTTTAAGCTTTCATGGTCACTCACTGACAATAATTTTGTGATGTCAAATTGAATATACATCATGTTCAATACAATATGGTAGGTTTCTTGTTTTACATCATTAAGATATTATAAAAAGTATATCTTTTTAAATTAATTAATGTCCTCCTGAACGATTTCGGCCACGGCGACCTGTCTCTGCGCAGGAGATACATATTATAGTGCACAAGTAGGTACTCGTACGTACGCGGAAAACTAGTGCAAAGTTCCTGTCCCTTTCATACTCCGGAGAGACGAATACTCGACACGACCAGTGAGAGTTAAGGTTCAACGGCTTTACGTGCTTGCTCGCGTGGCCTTTCGTAAAGTTGGCCGATTACTGAGAAATAGTCGAACGAAGCATTTAAAATAATATAAATAAACTAATTAAATTTTGCAGTTAGATTTAGATAAATTTAATGTTTTGCATACATTTTACAATTTTAATATTAAAACAAACGGTAGATTGTTTTTTAACGTTTGTTTCAATATTAAAATTGCTTATGATGCAATATAAGGGCGCGTACACATAGAACGTCCGATTTTACAGGATCCTTCTTAACTGATCCGTCGCTACTGGAGGTAATGTTCACACAGCATTTACAGGACCGATTTTGTTCAGTGTTATCTTGTTATACTGGTCGTGTTATATTGGTACTATGTCGTCTGCGTCGGAGGAAGCCACGGCGTTATTGGACACATCCATTTTTGCAAAGATTTTGTCGAGGTGCTCTTGTGCGTCAGCTGCAAAAACACGAATCTAAATTTTTTACTTATTTCCGAATGACGACATCTACTTTTGATAACCTTCTTAAAAGATTAGAAAAGGATTTAAAAAAGAAAGACTCAAACTGGAGGAAAACCCCCGCACCCCTGTGCCAAGCCTCGCGCGGTTTCGATCCGATAAAACGGGTTAGTATTTCCGTTGTGTGTGGGATTTTTTACTGGATCCGTAATACTGTCATGTGTGTGAACTGGCTCATACAACATACAACTACATACGCTAATAACATATACGTTTAAACGGACCTGTAAAACGGACGTTCTATGTGTACGTGCCCTAACCAGTAGGTACCTACGTGCCAGTTTTTGTATGCCCTGGGGTTATAAATTGGAAAATTAGTCAAATTTTATATTCACATAAGCTTACATAAATACATATTACTTAGTTGGAATTAATTTACAACTAAAATCGGGCCAAATTCAGTCTTGTGGCAAGTTACAGCAAAATGGATATCGCGTATTTCTCCGGAATCATATGATCAATCATGTGCACCAATTTCCAATCATTAGAACAAACAATAAAGTATCTACTCGGTGAAGAAATTTCGAAGAATTGCGGCCTAGCGTGAAAAATATATTTAAATACCTAATAAATAACTATTCATTATTTTTGATTCAAGTAGGTACGCTATGCTAAAGTTCATGGACTCATTGATTATTCAACAATACTAAATGACAGTCATCAAAACCCTTTTCATCTCTATTTTCGAAAAACTTAGTAGAAGTAGCTTATTAACTAGCAATGGTCTAATCACACTAACGCTGGCTATCGGCTGGGCTTGGTCGGTCGGTTATGTCGTGATCCAGAGACAGTCACCAGGCGGGTGATGCCAGGTCGGCAGTAATCACCACGTTCCGGCGCGCGGGTAATGGGCCGCCTGTAAACAGATAATTGTAACGCGGCCGTCGACTGCCGACACAACCTCACCCTCACTTCAACCCTTACAACTGCAGGGGATCGTTTTTAACGGTTTCCCGCGACACACATTTTAACTATACCCTAAGTACGAAGCAATTAGTTCGCCTTATTACCCTTCTCACGCCGGAACCTTTTTACTCTCAAACAGATATCAAGAAGTTCAACTTTTTATATTCATTTACGATCTTAGTACCTATGCCAAAATTCTATTTTATTTTATTCCAAGCTATATTATGATTAACCGTCGAGTTTGATATGCTTAATAAGCATCTACTGTAAACAACATATTTTAGATATTAAAAATACAATTAATCTAATTTATTCCATAACAATTTATTATATTGTGCCAGGTTTTGTATAATGTTTGTGTTAGCTTAATGTTGTTGAGTATTTACTTAGTATTGCACTAAGTCGGCGATCCGAAGCGGTGTAAAGCAATGCTCAGCTGCCTGCAGCTGGCTGCGAGCGGCGACATTAAATGAGGCGGAATGAGAATCCGTTCGAGTCAAAGCACGCGGAGAGAGAAACGTCAAATTCATTTCCGACGATTAGCGAGCGCCGGCGACTCGCGTTGGGGGTGGCGGGGGTGCGCGGGGGTCGCGCGGGGGAGGGAGGGAAAGGGGGTAGAGATCGCTAATGGGCTGGCTATTATTTTATTTTCCGGCATTCAGAAAATTGCCTTAATTCGCGACAAAGAGACATCGGAGTGGCGGAACTGCGTCTTTAGTGACGTTATATAGATAGGTAGAGCTCGTATTGTCCGCCACCTACGTTGTTAGCTAAATAACAATGTCTATAATTGTGCCGCTCAGCTCCCGCTGCAAATTGCAGTGTTACATGAAAAAGGCACATTCTGTTGTTCCCAATTGGTCTACCGAAAGCCTAAAGCCTAAAGTCCGCACAAAGTAGGCACACACTCGTACATACGTAAGTTCTTTCTATCAATAATACAATTATAATACCCACCTACCTATATTTTATGACTTAAAAATTTATCATTTAGCATCAAAAATGGTGTATAAAATATTTGTTTCATTTTTATAGAATTTAATAGTCACGTAAATTAAATTCGATAAAACAAATACAGGTAAGCTATAGATAATATTTTTATTTATTTTGATTAATTACCGATAATCTTTTTTTTATTACGCGCATGGTAGGTACCAATTTTTTAAATACCTAATAATGGCACAATGTCTGTGCGGATAGATCAGTGCTAGTGAGTCCTACGACCGAGGGAATAGTTGTTCTCGTCACAGTTGCTTCCAGTTTTGTTTCGACTCCATTGTGTCCGTCTCCTCGCAAGACTAATATGATTACACTTCATCAACTTTGTACCATTCTTTGACATTTACATATTAATGAATATATATTATAGAATTCAAGACCAATTACTTATCTACTTAATTTAATAAGTTATGTATTATAACTATTATATTGGTATCAACCTACTAAGTACAAGTTTTGTAATTAGAGATATCTCTTGTAAAACTGCATAAACTGATTTATAAGTACCTATTTACATAATTACCAAAAATTAAACCACAAAACTATACACGTTATGTATGTTTGTTATCTATACAGTAATCGCATTGGAAATTATTGATAACATTCTTATATCCAATGTACAAACATCTAAGATCTCTTCATACATCTTAAACATCATTAAATGTCCACGTTGTCCGCTACCAGCAGATCTCCTACTTACACTCGTAACAATATATCCATAATCCCTCTAAAGTTAAATCTGCAGCTGAGCTCGGTGCAGATCCGCTTGCTCGGTTCCCACGAAAACAATACTACGTCTTCATTACCAACCTACTGCGCTGTACAGTGGATTATGATCCACTAATCTCATTACTGACTTTGGTTTCAACTATTCATAACTATTAGCTGTATTAAATGAATAGGTAGGTACAATATATACGTACCTGTGTTTATAATATAACCATTCTGTTGTATTTATTTCAGCTAACCTCACTTTACTTCGTCTCTTTACATAAGTAAATACCTACCTCGTGGCAAAAACTGATGAAAATTTTACCTTTTATTGCGGTCGAACATTTACCTATAGGAAAATGCTAGTGTAGAAACTGAGAATTCAGATAATTTTTAACGAGTTGCATGAAAATCAGTTCAGCCGTTTCGAAATATACGTGCCCAAATAATATAATAGATAGACGGACTTTTTTTAGGGATAATTTGAAATGAAGAAATTGCATATTACCATGTCATCTGAATACGGTATGTAGGATTTGGGTATTTAAAAAACACGGACAAATAGGTACTTGATTTTTTGTATAAGTGTAGGGCGTACATCATTCGGTGTATCACAGAAATATTAAGAATATCCTTATAAAGTTAGTTGGTGTCAGTCAGTAGCTCGGAGGCTGGCAGTAGGCGTCGTCGAAGACTTATTCTGCAGGGGCTTACTCTCGAAGGTGTGTTAAGGCGCTTATGTCATTGTGGGAATTAAACACTCCATAGACAATAGGCTGTAATCTGTTAAGAACTCTCTGTTTTACGTCGAATGAATTGTGAGGATTTGTTTGTTCCGCGTATTACATTTAATACTGGAAGGATTTAAAATGTTAATGCAATAATCACTTCACCGGGCATTTGCTTGTTAATTCAATATAATAAGTATGTATATATTTTTTACACAATAATTACAATTTAAAGTAAATTTAAAAAAGTCTAGTGGCTCAAGTCATTTAATTGATAAAATTAATTGTAAATTATTTTGAAGACATAAATGTATTGCAAAATCATTCAATCACGTATAAGTGATAAGAACTGGAATAACGTGCTCTCTTTGCAACGAAACGCGTGCTTTTAACCAACTTGTGTTTTGCCAGCCCTACCTTTAACTTGCCACCAATCCGGTTCAGTGGGCGTGGCCAAAGAAGGAGACAAAGATATATAAATATATGGCGAGTGAAAGGGATAGTGGCTAGGCGGGAAGGCTGTAGTGAAAGGCGGGTCGGTTAAGTGACACTTGGGGAGACCTCAGTCAAAGTTAGGTGATAGTTTAGCGAGGTCGGTTACGCTTGCAGTTAATATTACATGATATAGACGTCAACGTGCGGAAATTCATTCGGAATTTATCCTTAATAAATGAAATACATTGTCTAATTATATTTATTAATTGATTTTATTCCATCAAAGCCAATAAAAGTGCATTTAAAATTATATTTATAACATTTTGCTATTTATTTTTAATATTTTGTAAAGGAAAGTTAAAGTGCTCGTAAACAGTATATATTTTTGACATTCAAAAAGTTAGTGCATACGAGTGCAGTGGTAAAGAGAGTAAAGCAGACGGCACTGTGTCTCTCTCGCCAAGGAAAGCCATGGCGAGTAGCGCGAGGCGCGGCGCCGCGTACACTATAGACAGCATTCTCGGACATCGGCAACACGCGACCGGTAAGTTTATCTGAGTAGCTCTTCTCATATATCTGAACTCTGATGTGTAGATAATATTTTATGGTTCAAATATATACCATTTTTTATTGCACTTAAATAAAATATAGAAATATAACAGGTACATAATAAGATTAGTTTGCAAAGGTGTACTTATGTCTAGGAGAGATGTCTACCAAGTAGCCTATGGTAGTGAAAAATAATATTGTAAAACAGGCTAAAGAAAAATTATAATTAAGTAAATAAAATAAATTAAAATTAAAAATAAATAAATATAATAATAGACAAAATACTATGCCTATTGAAATTTGATACCTATATTCAAATTTTACCAACCGGACGGCAATTATTTTTCTTGTTTGTCGAATAATCATTTGAAATATAGATTATATTCTATAAGACCTGCAGAATTGTAAATATACAATTAATACTTAAATTTTTGTTAATTAATTACTTACAAGTATTAAAATTTCGCAAAATGTAACCGATTACAAATTAATTGTTAAAAATATATCTAACCATGCAAGCTATATAATAAAATAATATATAATAAATATCTCTACAACAACTGTTCCAATTGGTAAAAGTTTCTGTAAAAGTTCAACATAAACAATTTTTTCACTTATAAATTTTTATCTCAAAAGTAGAGCCGTGAGTAAGATTCACTATTCCGTAGAAGACAAGTAATATATAATATAAAATAATATAAAGCAAATACGTAGCATATATTGTACTAGCATTGCCCGCGGCTCCGCCCACATTCAGATGACCAAAACCAAATTCTTAGGTTTTACATATTAGTATATTCTTACATTGTAGGTTTTGTATTTTTTCTCAGAAATGAGATATTTTCCCACGGTAAAAAGTATCCTATAGGTATGTTGACCCGGATAACACCATACCAAATTTAATCAAAATCCCTCCAGTGGTTTTACTGTGATGCGGTAACAGGCAGACAGACAAAAATTCTAAAAACTATAAATTCGGCCTCTGTATCGATAATAATGTTTATTTCAATAAGATTTTCCAAAAAATATTAAATGTACAGATTCGGCTTAGTTACAATTTTATTATAAGTAATATGTAGGTATAGATTATAAGCTTCATATAAAATAAAGTGCGATGACATGTAATTCTGGAAGACATGTTTTAAAGATATTAGTCGACTTCTGTACACAACTTTCCTAACAACTTTGTATAATATAGTACAAAATAAAATAAGAAATAAATGTTTGCGTAAAATATTTGCCACCTCTGTCAAAGTTCACCTGTTATACGTAAATTATTCTAATAGAAATCGAAACAATCCATCTAATTGTAGTTATCTATTAACATTAATTTAATTAGCTATTCATTAAAATATAATTTATAATATTATAATAAGCGTTAATTAAAATATAATTTATAATTATCATAGATTTGATATTTAAACTAAACCAATAGACATGGCTCGTCAGAACGACAAACACATTTTTAAATCAGTCAGTATTCATTCGATCTTTTATTTATGACGAGGCAATTTATGTAGTAATAGCAGCTTTATTTTATCCTATTTAAGTTTTCATTACAATTTAAAAATGAAAGGATTAGGTCATTAATGTTAGGTTGAACTTTCTACCGAGCTTCTAATGAACATAGACACGGCGATGCGAAGGCGACGTGTAAAAGACATCGATGGGAGCTACTGTAGCTATCTGATTATTTAAATTCTATAAAATATTATGAATCTATAAATGATTTCTTTTTTACTATAATACTTCAGGTTTTATTTATCGTAAAATTTTATTTAAGTATTTCAAAAAAAATATGCAAATATAACAGTCTTTTTAAGCCAAGTTACAACTGATTCGATATTAATATTGCCAACTAATTTAATTCAAAGGAGACATAGGCTCAGTTCGCGAGCAACCCAATATACGCGCTAATAAAGGCCCCCCAAAGCGCCCGACCCCCGCTGTTCCATTACGCCATATTTGCACCGCAACTAGATATTAATATAGCAATACTTCACGCTACACTGACCTACAACAAGTTTCGTTAAGAACTAAATTCCTGTTCCCTGTTTAGCCGCGTTTAGACACTGTAAGCAGTGATTTCGGAATATGATCATTATCTCGGGTGGATGCTTCCAAAAGGCGGCTCAAAAATGTTATTACTTGAGGGCTCCTCGCTGATGGATTTTAAGGGCTTCAACGTAAATATGTTTTGTTATGGCAACACTTACCTATTCATAGTGAACGCCGACAAAGAACATTTTATGTAGTTATTATTTTATACGCATGTTACCCAAAGCTATAGGTAGGCACATATATCAAACGTGAGATAGGACTATGGCAAGTGGTATCGAAACTTTCATCTATACATGTAATAAAATTGTAACTAAGCCGAATCTGTACATTAAATATTTAAGAGTATACTCGTACTAATATGTAAAACCTAAGAATTTGGTTTTTGGTCATCTGAACGCGGGCGGAGCCGCGGGCAATGCTAGTGTTTATGTAATTTTATTATTGGAGTAATTAAAAACATAAGCTGTGTGCTCCGTAGACGTAAACTCCCCGCGGCCAATGTTCCTGAGCAGATCAAAGAATAATGTAATAAAGCTGCGGGTGACGGGACTCGGGAGGCGCTCCAGGCGCGCGGCCGAGCAGAGACGGGACACAAGCTGCGTCTAATGTCAATGTTAGCGCGCTGCGGGCTTTATGATACATAGCTTATTTAATACTGTTAAATCATATTGACTGCCCAAATACGACGACATTGCAATTACGAAAACCAATGTTTTAAGATATTATTGACAAACACAAAATTGCTTACACGATATTAAATAGCTAACTCATTAACGTTTATATAAACGAATATCTGCGCTTATATCTAGAGTATTTTTTTCTGGTCTTTTGCAAAATAATTATGTACGTAGGTACATATATCAAATCAATATTTGAACCGAAGACATCTCAATTTTCCGAAGTCCGTTCAGGGCCGTTCATGGGCTGTGAGTGGGCCGAGTTAAAACACTTAATAAAATAAATATTTTTTTATCTCCTTAAAGATTGGGTCGAATTAGTATCTTCTTAACAACACTTATCTGGAGTATAATTAATTTTAATTAAATTAATATGATTAAAATCGATTAAATTTTATGGCAAAATAAATAAAATTTGTGTCAACTTGCTTTAGAGTAGACCAAGTATACCTAAACTTTTTCTTTTCGTAGATTTAAAAATGATCTGTTTCATTAGCATTTCTAATATATTCAGCCAGTTCGGACAGTTATCTGTAACGGGGTCACTGTACAACGTGTCTGTACAATGTACAGACAGAAAAACCGGTGTAACGATGTTAATACATTTTAAGACAAATTAAAAAATACAATTTTTTTTTTCTATAACCTAACCAGATGTTCAAGGAGCCCACGCCAGCCAAACTATGTAAATACATAATATGTTGAGAGAATACATCATACACACAAATCAAAAATAATACTAATTAAAGGAACGCTTTATATTTTCAGTAGATATGATGAATTTTTCATTTCTGTTTATTTTTGCCCTAAAAGTAGCAAATGTGGCATAAGAGAGCTATTTATAAGATCAATTAAATAAGTCTGACGTCAGTTGATACAACTAATATATTCCTTGTGTTTATTAGTCCGATATTTGGATGAATAAAATAGTGTGTTTATAATTATGTAAGAGTTATACTTCTACGGCATAACAAAACAATAAAAGTAATTCCAAAATTTGAAGAAACGACGATAAAATAATAAATTAAAGATATTAAATATAATTGGTAAGGGTTTAACTAAAAAATGTACTCATTTAATAAATGAGAATGGCTACCGACAAGCAAAAATAAACTTATGATACTTACATGAATATATAGAAAATTAATATACCAAAAATAATCACAATAAATTATTTCTTTATCAAGTACTAAAGTAATAATTTATCTTCTTCAATGGAAAAAAAAAAAGATTAGTGTCGTGTGACGACAGGGGGTAGTAAAGAAGTTCCTTTCGTTTACTTGGCTCATACATTAGCTCATACACATTTTCTCGAGTACCAGGGCAGCATAGACATCGAGCAACGTACATTGTAGGTACTTGTTGTAGCTCATCGAAGAAAAGCCTGCACAGTTGCAAAAGTGCACACGAATTTCGTACAAAATACACTCCTCAACACTTACGATCGCCTGGTAGTTTTGTCACGAGTACTGCGGGATCACGAACCTCGAGGAATGCTCATTATATACATATTATGTAGGGGCCACTCAAAGAGTGCATACGACCTCCTTAAAATTCAAATTCCTTACGTCACAATTTCTACCTGCCAACTAACTTCCTTTTCGGTTTTTTTTAATGTTGAGAAATGCATTTAACCATACCACTATACTAAACCGAGATTTAACGACTAACTTCATACTATAGTCTAATTCTGTCGCATCGTAAAAGTTCACTCTCATCATTTTTCCCTGCCGCGTTACGCGCCAAAAGAAATATATCTTCAAAAATATATTCTTCCGACTATTTATTGCTGGCCAGTGATGTATTGCGTGTTATTGTATTTTTATAGATTTTAAGAATATCAATTGTTAACATTTTCAGTTTCGAATAAGGTCGAATAGACTTAAATTAAAAATCTTTATCGCTCGATAGGTTAGAATTATCTTGTTTTATTATGGTGCATTAATATTCTCATAATAAAATCTATTTTTAGCTGTGTAGGTTAGTGCGCTTTTTTGTAAAAAAATTTTAAGTTGAAGTGTTTTTATGTGTAAACAAAAACACTTGAACTTAAAAATCGTTGGGGTCTAAAAGAATAAGTTTTCAGCTCCGTAGGTTAAAGTTATATAAGGTTTTCTGCATATAGAAACTCTTGCACCGAAAAATCGCTTATTTTACATTAGAAAACAAAAAAGTGCCAGATGTTCGTACAAACCGACAATAGTGGGACGAATATTATTTTCTTAATCTTCCGATTATCGAACGACACACACACGAATTTAATTACCTATATACCGATGTATGATTTTTTGTATTATACGTAATTAAATTTCCACATACATATTATATACTTAAATATGTATATAATACGGACGAATTGAGAGTCTCTTTCTTTTTTGAAGCTGGTTAAATAATTTTTATATAAATAGCTCCATTTCAGCCACTCGTATACAATGACCTAAATGTTATTTCCCATAAACTCATCGTTCAATAATTTCAAACGAATGGAATCCGCTTAAGAAAAATTGCAACTTTACAATTCAAAATACAAAGAAACTTCTTATAGCATTATGAACCTTACTGCCCGCTGATAAGGCACACTGTGCGAGACGCGTGAACTGGAAGCCCATATGGCGATGTCGTAACGAGCGTCACTTGAAGTGGCAATTTGACAGGATTTACCGCGAGACATACAGAGTATTGAATGCTAATAAAATTACGATTTTTCCGAGAACTGGTTGAGGCAGCTTATATTGTATGAATGTAGTTATTACGTTACGAAAGCTCGCTAATAAGAGCTTTTAGTTCTCTTCGAGAGCCAAATTATCTGTTTATTGAAACATAATATACTTGTAGCCACCTATTGCCACTTAAGCATCAAGTACTTAACGTCCACGGTGTTCGTTTATTATGATTTGCTAACATTTTCTACGTGGGCATAACAATCAAAATATTATTAAAAAATAATTCTCTTTCTGTAACCAGCATACATCTATTTTGGAAAAGAATCGTGTAATCCGACATGAAATGGTCATAATAAACTCCATGTCGTAATTGTGTTAATATAATAAAGTCGACGGAGAGCTATGTGTGTGTGTGTGTGTGTGTGTGTGTGTGTGTGTGTGTGAGAGCTCGTAACAAGCGTTTAGTTGTAATCCGACATTGTGCGCTAATTCCTTATTACAATCGCAACAAAAATAGAATTACTACAAATAAATAGTGCGACTAACGTCGAGTGACGTTAAGTGCTTTACAAAAAGCGTATTTTGTTTGCCGGAGCCGAGAGTGTGAGCCGGTGCGAGCGACCCCAGCGCCGAGCGAGCGCGCTTCCACTCGCAGCGGTTATTGAAAATGACTCTTGTGGCACCACGCTAGGGGCAAAAGTCGCGTATGCAAAAACGTAATTAGTAAGTTTAAAGAGCAGAAGGGTGGTAATTCGGTATTATCGAGGGCTGGTTTGCTGCGCGGATTAAGAGATCGATGTCACGTCAATGTGAACCTCGCCGGGAACTGCTACTGCGCTACCTACTACATGCGATCACAATGTTACACCGTGAGAATTATCTCATGTAATACGACTTTTGATTCTGATTTAAATTCTGACAATATTTTGATTACTTCCTACTAATACAATAAGATGTCAGGTCTCTGCTGCTAAATCTATAAAATTGTAAAGTGAATCTCTGACAAAGCCGTAAGGCAATTATGACAATACGCTACTCCCTAACTTGATTGTTTAAAAATGTATTCACATAATAATACGATTAGATTTACGCGAATATTTGATATTTTGAATAAAACTTTCTTTTCGGATTATTTCGCGGATTTATTTTGATTTTTGGTTCCCGACGTTTCGAATGCTTTACAGCAATCATGGTCACGGGAGAGACTGAGGTGTTAGATGTCTCGCATAGCTATGATGAGATAACTAGCATTCGTAAACGTCGGGAACCAAAAACCAAAATAAATCCACGAAATAAACCGAAAAGATAGTTTTATTTAAAATGTATTCACATAATATTTGACTCTTATCACAGTTGCTAAAATTTATGTAGGTATATGTGTGTAGACTATGATTTCGCATCTGGTTTGGCACTTATGGTGAGGATACGTCATTTGCATGGAGTATATTGCTACATATAACATAAACTCACTTGTTAGTGATAAAAAATATAAAGTTGTCATTTTTAAAATTATTTTGTTTTAACGCAGACGTAGTAGAGCGGTGTGTAGAGTTGAAAAGCGAGGGTGCTCAGTCGGACTCCGAGCACGAGGCGGAGCACGAGCACGAGGCGTGCACCGAGCCTGAGCGCGCGGAACACGAGCCGCTAGAGGCGCTTGACGCCGGCAGACCACGCAAGGTAATTTGCTACACTTGCTTAGATGTGCTCTGATTATGTAATCATACTATTATAACTGCGAAAATTTGTATGTGTGTGTATATTTGTAACTCCCTAACTCTGAAACGACTGGACGGATCTGGACGAATTTAAAATCTCAATCAATTGTAGGATATGACCTGGAGGCAACCGAGCGAATTGAGAGTTTTAATATTTTACATTTTTAGCTTAGGTTAGGGCGCTTTTTTTACACATAAAATGATTATTTTTTACACATAAGATGTATGTATAATATAAACGTGACTGACTATGAAGTCATTACCTGCTTTGTTATAATATGAAAATAGCAATTAAACATGTTTTCATGACAATTAAAAGTTAAAGCCTGAAATATAATATTTCAAATTACCCATCAACTTGGTAACGTTAAGCTAGTTAATGCATTATATCTCTGTGATTAAAAAAGTACAATAATGTCATCTAAATGAATTTTAAGTTAACCTCGGTAATAATAAAATCTATAGGTACATATAAAATGCTTTGTCCTGAATGACTGACTGACGGATTCACGCACAGCCTAAACCGCTGATCGTAGAGACCTGAAATTTGAAGGGTGTGTTCTTTGTATGACGTAGGCATTTGTTGAGAAAGGTTTGTTTGTTTGTTTGTTTGTTTGTTTGTTTGTTTGTTTGCTTGTGTGGAGATAGAGGGTTGGAGAGCGACATAGCCATAGGCTACTTTTTACCGCAGGAGATAATCTTATTTCCACGGGAAAACACGTTATAATACAACCCAAAAAAAGACCCCAAGAATTTAGTTTTATGATTTTCTCTATGTTTTTCCTGTTAACTACCAGTGAAGCCATATCTCATATATTTTTACGAAATTCTAGGCTTATGTTAGTAGACAAAGCAAAAGGTTTACTTAGTTATACGTTTTCTATAACATCCTTTAATTTATACGTTTTAAAATATTTTTCCTTAAAATACCGCGTGCATTTGCTAAGTCTGATGGTGCACTTGCGATTATTTATTACTCTGATCGATCTCCTATAAGAAGAATTCACTTATTTATAGTACTTGTCATTATGTCAAAAGGATCAATAAACTCGAAGTCAAACAGGCACAAGTCCAAGTCCGTATCTTGTTGCATGCTAACTATATTCACAATGAGAGACAGTAAAGTACAATAAGCGTGGTGTGGCCTGCACAAGCAGGTGCGCCGCAGCCGGACCACCTTCACCACGTACCAGCTGCACGAGCTCGAGCGCGCCTTCGACAAGACGCAGTACCCCGACGTGTTCACGCGCGAGGAGCTCGCCATGCGGCTCGACCTCAGCGAGGCGAGGGTGCAGGTGAGACTCATTTCACTTCATCTCACTTCACTTCACTTTACTTATCTTTTAATATATGTAATAGACGATTCAATAATGTTTGTCAGGTTGTCGTGTTAAGTTTCAATTAATTAGTGACATGATATTACAAAAGAGCATGCCTCTTTACTGTAACTCTGTTTTGAAAGACCGAATTCTCTTCATTCTCTGGAGTCTAGAAATTATTATATGAATGTAATTGAAGCAATATCTATACTAATATTATAAAAGAGGCAGAGTTTGTTTGTTTGTTTGAACGCGTTAATCTCAGGAACTACTAATCCGATTTAAAAAAAAAATGCATTAGATAACCCCTTTATTGAGGAAATCTATAGGCTATATATCATCCTAGAAAAATGTAAGATTTCTGAGGGATAGATTTGTTTTTGTCGGGGACGAACCCGAAGCAATGCGAGGGTGAGTCGGACGGGGGACACTTTTAATTCATATAAATTATATTTTAATATTTATTATATAACTTAATTAAATAATAAAAACCAATTTCAATGAACTTTTGTTGCTATTATATAATTAAAAACAAAACTTATAATAGAGTTAGATTAAATTTTAAAACATAGAACCTGTATTGCGAAGTCATTACTAGATATAATTAATATACAAGTATAACATTGAAAACTCTACAATATAATTTTAATTGTTTCATACAAATTAATATGTATATTAAAAGATGTTTTATATTTGCAATCGTTTTTACTTTAAATTAAGTTAATTACGATTAAATTAATTAATTTCTGGTTAGTAGAGGTAATTAAATTCTAATTTTAACTAATTTTGATAGAGTCGTGGTACATTCCGCGGTTTTACGTAACTAGTATATTTTCTAATTAACTTTAGATATTTTATTTAGTTCTTATAACCTAATAAATTAAAATAACAATTATTAAATTAAAGATATTATTTGTAATTGAGGAATACGAGAATAACACATCTCTATTTTGCGTGTACATCTTTCTTTATATATATAATTCTTCTGTGAGTGTGTATGTCACTGAACTTCTATCAAACGACTGGACCGATTTTGATGAAATTTTTTGTGTGTGTTCAAGGGGATCTGGGAATGGTTTAGATTCACAATTTGAATAATAATTTTCATCAAAAAAATTATTAAAAGAAGTTTGAAATTTTCAAATTAAAGACGTGTAGACAGGACAACGTCTGTCGGGTCCGCTAGTATACCTATAAGTTACATCACAGATCATATAATACTTTACTAGTACTAGTAGAGATTCATGACACTAACTAAACGGTATTAGCATGACATGATCGTCGCCATTTCATCCAGCTCTCTTTCTCCTTTGTGTAGATATTACATGTTTTTAGTGCTACCTATTAACTTAATTAGCTTAGATATGACATGTGTAGGCAAATACAACACCAAGTAGGTGTTATAATAATAGCCACGTCAGGCAACAGTAGCAATATAGTGCCAGGACGACGAGTGGCGAGTGGGCGAGTGCGGCGTGAAGCCGAAGGCGTGACGTGGTAATTAACATTAGCGTCATTGTCCGCGCACAATCGCGCAGATTACTCTCGCGGTCACAGGTTAGCTTGCCGCTAGCCACCTGTGCAGGACATAATCGATCTAGACTTAGTACGACCTACAATAAAGTACCAACTATGATGTAATTTTAATTTTAAACAAATATTGCCTCATAGAATTATTTTTGTATATTAAAGATTATTATTAGGAATACTTTGAAAAATTTCCAGTTTTATAGTTTGACAGTGCAAATTCGTAGTGAGATGTAAAATCATTACCCATGTAATTAGTGTTAACTAAATTATCAAGTTCTTACAAGCTATCACAGTGCGCGAGGAAGGCAGGGCCCGGCTCTAACAATGGTCGCTAATTCGCGCCTCATTACACTCTCGCCGCTAATGTCTCACTAATTGTGCCTCGAGCCGTCACTACTCTGTACAAAATTGGTGTAATCAAGCGTGTGACAATGGTTTTATTACATTTTATTTAATCTATTGTTTCTGCTGTTTTATTTTTCTTTTTTTTCTTTTGCGTTTATAAATTCAGTAGCTTTACTGCATTTGCAAGAAGTACAAATAGGTATATTAATTTACTTATACCAATTGAAAATGTGGAAACCAATAAAACTAAAGTCTTTTTGAGATTTGGCTTGAGTTATCAATTGAAGAAATCGCCTTATTAACTTGACATGGGTCTAACGAGCCTTAAATTGGGCAGAGTACAATGAGAGCCGGCAGAAGGCAGCGTCGCGCGGGCGATGGCGGCGGATGGCGGCTCGGTGGTGGTGGGCACGACTAACAATGGTTTAATTAAGCACGGTTTGAGCGTGAGAGCTCTCAAACTGCAGTTAAAGTGAGCGCCGCTGCAATTTGGTAATTACCGACTCCGCGAGATGAGGGGGGGGAGTGAGCGGGTTGAGAGGGGGGCGAGGGGGAGGTAATCTCGCGGCCTCGAGAGGCAGTCGGCAATGCACAGACAATAAAACACTTTAATATTTCGCAGGGCTGTATGCTGCTAATGAGGAATTCATTTCGGTCATTAGATGCTCTTGTGACTGTATTTCTTTAATTGCGGCTCACTTCTGAAGCAGCTACATAAGATTGGCCCTTGTGTCGCAGCAAGATTTGAGAACTTGCATAAAGACTACTCGTTTTTGCGCCAGATTAAGCTTCAACACTACTTTCCAACTTTCACCCATCATAATCATGTGCTTGCTACTAATTGCGCGTTTACATTTAATTTATTATTTTGTAAGATTGTTTCTTAAATCAACTAATGTATCGTAGTGGTCCCTTGTACACTACATAAATTTTTAGTAAAAAATATTGCTGTTTCAGTAAATATTCCATGTTAATGCGCAATAATGACGTTAAATTTATGATAAAATTTTGGATATCTTGTACTGGTCTCACAGCCCTAACTGCTTGATACTCGATAGACCAGCGAGGGCGCGGTTCTTAAATCACACTCTACGCAGCGTAAATTGCTTTTAATCCACTCTATGGATGGCGATCACGACTCACATCCTACCCTCCCCACTTGGGGCTCGCACAGGCAAAAAAGTATTCTATAGGTGGTGACAAAGGGGTTTGTTTTGAAGGTAGTTTTGATATTTAGAATGCAATAGTCGTAATAAGAAGTGGAGTGTACGCTGTAACGGAGCCGCCAGCGACACCACTCGAGCCCGCCGCGGTAGCGCTCGATCAGTTTCATTCTATTTCAAGTAATTTAATTTAATTTAACTGTTTAATTGGAAGAATATAATGACTACGGCCCCTAAGTTCGACACTTGACTCCACTTCAACTTTTTGATGACGACATTTGCAATTTTACTAACTATAAGGCAAGGCAACTACTGCATAACGCAAAATGTTTTATATAATTACCTACATATGTCAAAATACTGTTTAAAGACTTTTTTCACGATGCTTTTAGAATATAAATACTTTACGTAATTAAGCTGAGATGAAGACGTCACTTCGACAAAACGTGGACCTAAGTTAGTATCTACCTAATCCCATATGTTGTCTCTACGTTTTAACGCAGTTCAAAACCTGTATTGTATAATTTGGGAGCAATTCGAGCCCCGCTCGATCGCACCGCGAAAATGGACTCATTTGAAAATTATGAAATTATGCCATTTTTGCCTTTCGGCTGCTACAATGTCTTTTTATTAGCGCAATGCGACTCGACTAGCTCAATTTGTTTCTATTCTCCGCGGTCGGTTATTCAAATTAGTATTGAAGCGGGAGGAGTTAAGGTCGGCTTTGCACTGCGCCGGCGAGTGCGCGAAAACCACGTATGCGTAATTGCTTTTCATTACGGCCCCATTGTAGTGGAGAGCGAGCGGCGAATTGGCGACAATTACGGTATAAAAAAATTAAAAGAGCACGCGGAGACTTCTGCGTCCGCCGTGTCCGTTGCTGCGAGCCGGCGCAGTCGCCGTGTGTAAGTACGGGTTGTGTTCGATCATGACTGTACTATAAATAATTATTTTTTTAATCATATGTATGAAATAATCAGAGCAACACATATTTTAAATTAATGTTTATCTTTAAAATAAAAAAAATCGGAAAAATGTTTCGGACTTTGTCACGGAGAGATCTACCCGATTGCTATTTATTTACCCAAAACATAGTAGGTATGTTTTTTCCTCATGTATATTACAAGATGATAATATTGATGTGTTAAATATTTGTGCTCAGGTGTGGTTCCAGAACAGACGTGCAAAATGGCGCAAACGAGAGAAAGCCCTGGGCCGAGAGCACGCGCCCTTCCTGCATCACGAGCACGGTCAGTATCTTCATGTAAATCGGATTAATATTATTATAAATGCAAAAGTTTGTATGTGTGTATATATTCCTTACTCTTTCATGCTTAAATGGTTGGAGGAGTCTGGATAAAATTTAGTACACACACAGTCTATCGTTAGGGATGCATAGCAACTTCTTGTGATATAGATTTAACAATAATATTTGTAAAAAAACGTTCATATAGAAGTGGTATACAATTATCGGCTCGATAAAACCTGTTAGTGCATAATTACCGGAAATCGTAATTGTCGCTTAAAGGTTTCATTATAATGAATGGTTTATTTGGAGCTATTATCGACTTAGAAATCATTTTGGTAACACCGATGGAAGCAACGACGCGATCGAAACCCGCAATTATAATCGCATTACTAACCGATTCCTGCAGTCGATGTGATGTGTGTGTGTCCGCGGCCGACTGACCACCGGCCTGTGCGAGCTGGGTTGACACCCTTCATTAATACTAGACTCTGGATAAATGAGTCGGGGCAACTATTGTCAGTGGGTACTTTAATCGGACTATTTTTCTAATTGCGAAAGTTTGTAACTGTGTGTAATTCTGTATGTTTATTACCCCTTCATGCTAGTGGCTGAACGGATTTGGATGAAATTTAGTATACAGATAGATTATTACTATTGAAGTAATAGATAGGTTAATGTAAGGCACCCAGGGATGCATTCGAGCGAAGTGACGATAAGTCGCTACTGTCATATAAATCTATGGGAAACAGTTTTCGTGAAGAAATAGACATCAAATAAAATGATTTTCATTTATCATTAATACCTATATGAATAGATTATTTAATTTAAAGCTGCAATTTCATGTAGTAGGTATCCAAGCAAACAAACCCGGTCACGGACATGTTCATGTTCCGGAATAAAGTAGCAAGGAGGACAAACCGTAATATTATGTAGATAACTATTGAATAAGAACTTTTTAGTATCGTTCCTTCTTGATGTAAATAAAATGTAATGTACACTGTTCATAAAATTTGTACACAATTGAAACTCGTTATTAGTGACAGTATGACAGTGTAGATATACCTACTCGTATCTACTGTAATATGCATTATTATGTAATTTACCTATAATTTGGAAGGAATGAAATCGATTACCTTGTTTCTGTTCACAACAGCCGGTCATTACGACCATTTGCTGATGGATATCTTGTAACTATCATTTGACAATAAAAAGTAAAGCAGTGACGCTAACACCTTTGTAATTTATACGATATTAATACTTTTTCATAATAACAATATACATATACGTGCCCACCTACTTAATTATAGTAAATATAAAACACAAAACATCGATTTGTATCCAGGAATAAATAAGTACCTATAGATTTATTTTGGTAGAGTTATAAAACTAGCTTTAATTCTCAAAAGCCTACCGGTCTTTCTGTCCTGAGAAATTTGGCTAATAGAATTAATCCGGATGACTGATCTTTTCTGCGATGTATTCCACTTAGTTCCTTTTAAAAGTTCTTTACGAGCGATGCGAATGATGATTTTAATATATTTTAATAGTTTCTTTATTTGGTTTCTTCGATTTGATTAATATATTTGCTTATATCTTTCTAACATACCAATAGATATATATTTCAATAAAACAATTTCAACCTAAATAATGTCTTGTAAACTACTCAAAGAGTGAAATGGTAGAGCAAAGAATAGTAACGTAAGAGTCGAGGCGATGCCGCGCGTCGTCCACAATCCACATCTAGCGTGTAACAGTTCGACATACGCCGTAATGACGGCCGAACTCTAATGTGTGATAATTACACGCCTGTCACAAACACCATGAAAATATGGCGGTAATGGGCGTATGTATGTACATAGACAGTTCATTATAGAAAGTACATTATCATTGCAATAATTTAAATAGAGATTAATTATTATATACCTAACTATTATTTGGATACATATGGACTCGTATAGCTCAATGAAGGAATTACAAGACAAGATAGTAGAGCCATCTTACAGCGTATACATACTAGCCTCTCTCTCTCTCTCACCTTCGCTTCGCTCGGGTTCATCCCTCTGTATGTTTCGATGCTTAGTATATATGTATATAGAATAGATAGACTATATATAATTAATAATAAATAAAATATAATAAATAATAAAATCGTGTGGTCAACATTAAAGTAAACGTATAATATGAAAGTATATGAAATCCAGGTGCGTGAGGAACAACGCAGCCCCTGTGACATCATTAGATAACAAATAAGCTATTATCACCATTTGCCAGGAGTCGGGACTGCCCTCGGCCGCGTCACCTGCCGCCGCCGCCTTGTCTTCGCGCTTATCAATTAAATATTACTATTTCACTGTCTCGGTGGTCTAGTGGATAGCACGTACGGCTGTAACTCCGGAGGTCCTAGGTTCGAGTCCAGGATCGGGCCAAGTTTTGTATTGAGTCTTTCCATCAGGATTCATTAACCTCTTAGTAACGGCCCGGACCTAGGAAGTTGGCGATGTTGCTTCTACTCCAATATCAAATACCCCAACACAATTTAAAAAAAAGCGATAAGTCTAAATTCGACTATTTTATTTATAACTTATTACTATTTTATAACTTTTATTGTTTCGAAGTTACTGAAATTATTTTTATGAAATTAAAAAGTATATTGACCATATAATATTTCAGTTACTTTTATGAATACTTGATAATATTATCTAGATATTATACCTGTGACCATGGGGCTTGTAACAGTGCCATAATATCGAAATACAAATTTTAGCGTTTACCAATTTTGATTAGGTGTAGGTGAGTGGAGCGCAGGCATGGGTGTGGGAGTGGGCATGGGAGGCGTGGGAGTGGGTGTGGGTGCGGGCGAGTGGTGGCTCGGGCTCGGCGCGCCGTTGTGGCACGACGCTCCTCCCGCCGCGGCCTTCAGAGCATTGCTGCATAGGTGAGACCTTTTACTACATACTATTAATAACAATTTATATACCAAGAATGCAATGTTCCTCGAGATTTAAAAAAATGAACAAGTTACCCGAAAAAAATATTCGGGTTCGATTCCCGGGATGGGCCAATGGAGTTCTTTTGTAAAGAAATTCTCAGTGACAGCCCAGGATTGGGAAGTTGGCGATGTTCGATCTCCGCAGTATGTTCATGCTCTCTCGCTCCCCCGCCCGGCAGGTACGTGCTGGCGCTGCCGCCGCCCGCGCCGCCGTCGCCGGCCGCGCGCTCGCCCTCGCCGCCGCGCTCGCCGCGCGCGCCGCCCGCGCCGCCCGCGCCCGCGCTGCCCGCCGAGCTGCGGCTGCTGCACGACCGCTACAGTCGCGTACACACGTAACCACCAATGCTATAATTTCTATATATAATATACATATGTACACTAATTTTAAGCTATACACTGTTATATTATTCGACATCGAACAATGAATATCTCAGGTTGTCACACAATAGTTCGATAGCTTATTGATTAAGTTCGAACATTTTTCTATGAAAGCTGGCATTAGGTACTTGCCATTTTAATTAAGTTTCAAAGTAGCGGCGCACGATCAGACTGATATGAACGTATGGAAAATATTTAAGCAAACAAATAATATCAAAACAGTGCTATATGGTGTTTCCGAGGTTATTTTGAGGTAAAGCTGACACATTTAACACTCAATGAGGTCATTTTGTATTACTGAAATTTTTTATAACGATTTTTACCTTCAAATATTCAATACTTTTGCATACATTGTGAGTAGAGCCTCAGATTAAAGAAATATATATTTATATAGAGTCCGCCAAAAAAATGTCATCATTAAAAATAGGTACCGCGATTTTGCTGTTTTTATACTTTTTTCAATTTTTTCATACAAATTGTTTTTTTTAAGAACAAGGGAACTTAATAGGTATAAGTAATAGTTATTAATTTACTATTTTTTAGAAGACAATAAAATAGCTATAAATACATATATGTATAGCTTTAAAGAGTAAAAATCTATCTATACTATAATAAAACAGTAAAGTTGGAATGTCTGTACATAGAAAAAAATGCTAAAAACCGAGTCAGGGGGATGTAAGAAGACAAATAGAACAAATTTCAAATTTTTTGTTTCTCTGTCTGTATGTCTATTTGTCTGTTTGTACGGGCTAATCTCTTTTTTTGCATGGTGGTACCTTACATCCCCGGAAAACATCTTAGGTACTTTTCATTTCGGAAAATTAAAGAGTTCCCGTGGGATAGTTAAAAAACTATAGTAACTTATACAGCTTACTTAGTACACAATTACTTATGCACCTAATTTAGTAAAATTTGGCATGCTGATACCATATATTGCCGGTTAAACAACAGGTTACTTTTCATCCCGGAGAAATGAACGATTCCCGTGGGAACTAATAGATCTCTATTAGTGTTTTTCTAGAGGCGAACCCGAGCGAAGCAAGGGTGAGCCGCTAGTAATATTATATTTTTTTGTGTTTTTTAAGCATTACTTCTCTTCCCCTTGAAAGAGATGCATATAATATTTGCTTATATTTTTTTCTTTATTTTAATAAAATTCGTTAGGTATTTTTATTTATTAACATTTATGTATTTACTTATCACAGTAATACGTATTTGTATATTGTTTTAATTATTATATATTATTTTAAAACAATATTGTTTGGCTTCACGTTTACTTCTATGACTCTATATTATTCCTTAGTCTGAGAAATACATAGTACCATATCGTTTTATAGTGCGCTACAAGCTTAGAAAAAAATTAAAATGGCAGAATTTTGATAATATCATAAAAGTTCTATCTCCTTTAATTTAATAAATTCAAAAAATGTGCTCTATTTTCAAAATGTAAATTCAGGTTATAACCAACATAGGTATATAAAAAACGACATAGTATTTTAAAAAAGATCATAAATCTGGAATGTCCAATGTTTCTTAAATATTCTGAGGTGATTTCCTCATTTACAAAACTTATTTACTTTTAATTCCGTCATGGACATGTAATTTTCTAATAAAATATAATGTTAATATTAAATTGTAATAATCTAAAAAATGTGTAAAACATAACAATTTGTGGGATTTGACATAGCTATTCGTGTGCCTTACCCTTCGACGTAGAAGCTGAAAGTGTTTCAGTCTCCCGCGGTCGTGTCTTCGCTGATCTCAAAACGTTTATTTGAAGTAAACATTGTATATAGTAGTTAAGAATTTATTGAGTATATTGTAAAACCACCGAGTGTAAAAGTCTTAATGTAAAAATATGTATATTGTAAGTTGTGTTGTAAATATTGTATAGAAAACTCTATCGGCTCGGTGACGCCCGATGTACGACGACGCGATGGTACTTTGAGTTCACAAAGTAATTTAAAACAATAAAACCAACAGAAGCGTGCCGCTGGACGTGGACACTGTAATGTACCTAGTGACATGTTCGCATCGCAGTCAAAGGTTCATCGTGTAAGTAGCGAGTATAAGTAATATCCATTAGTGCATAACACGTAACACGTAGACGTTATTTATTGAGGTAGTGTAGCGAGTTCGCAATATTGTCGCCGTAGTAACGCAATAAACTAAATGAGAAATACATGCACTACTTTTATTTAACTCCTTACAACGTAATATGAACACTATGTTCTGACTTCAGTTTAAATGAAATACTTACTTGCTTGTAGACAGACATAACTTCTGAAATAAGTTGGTTTTGTTTGCAGTGACACAATAATTTCTAAAAATAAAATGAAATTTTGTGGTAGACAAAAGATGAAAAAGAACATGATGCTTGAACAAACGAAGTAATCTAAACCTTACTTTAACATAGCCACTTACGTATGTAGTTCTTTATTTGCTCACACGCGGATCGTATGAAACCCTATCGATTCCTTTATCATATCGCCACTGTCCATTATAATCTCGAGCATTGTTAAAGAACCACCCCCGCGCCCCACGTCCACCCTCACTCCCGACGCCATCACTCACCCCCCACGAACATGTTCGCGATCATCAAGATTAAATTTGCGTCTCGTAACAAAGAAGCTGAGTGTTTGAAGAAAGATTAATTTGGTAAAAATTGGGCGTAGGGCTAAGCCCACTTACCACCCGGTGAAGCCGCGGGGATTACAGGCAGCAAAATGACCCTTATACTATTAAAAATAGGGAATATTGGATGAGAATATAGACGAAAAATTCACCGTGACGTTTTCTATACACGCGCGTGTTTTGAAAGTACTCGATATGGACTGTACAAAGAATAGAAATCTATAGTCCCGGCTATGGTTACTAACTCTGGGGCTGTTCAATATTCGATTTCTTTTATTATAATTTCCTCACGTCTGAATTGATTTGAGCACAGTTTTAGAATTTATGAAACTATTTTCATATCAATGTAATTAATGTTTTATTCTAAAATGTCAGGCTCATAATACCATAATGCGTATTAAAATCACTTCTAAAACTTCTAATTTACCAAGTATATAATATTATTATTAAAGGAAAACACGTAGGATGGCTAGACTGAAGACATATACCTACTATTCTAGAATATTGTGTAATGTGCTAGGTACCTGTAGCTCTAAGAAATACGTTGCAGGCTTAAGTCCACCTCGATACGAATGTTTGTACTTGCCAAGTAGTCTTTGTGTTGCTCACAGCGGAAGGGTAACTTTGTGGCGGGAAGTCATACGTGATAAGCTATATTTATTTGTATTCCATAGCCCGCAATCGGTGTTAATGTGAAGTTTTTTTTTATGAAAAGCCTTATTTATAAAAAGAAGTAGTAAAATAAACTCAGAATGTAATATTGGCCCCACATTATCATTATTGAAAATTAGAGAAAAAAAAAGAAAAGCTTAGAAACTAAGAAGAAACAGGCACTGAACTGTATTGTCTTACTTATGTATTGTATATAAAAATCTGTGTCCATTTTTTTGAATGTAATGACATTAAGTTTTTTAATAGCTATTATGAAAAAGAAAATTATTTCCGAACAGAGGAACAAAGGTACAGATCTATTTTTTATATAGGTACAGGGTCATTTTTAATTTACTGAAAACCTTTTGGGAATATACTATTTACAACATAACAACAACATCTGTAAGAAAAAAAATATATATTTTAAATTTAACAAAAATAAAAATATATTTATTGCACCTTCTCAACGGTAATAGTCCAGCATTAGCAAAAGAAAGTGCGTGTCCGGTGGAGGGGGTGGGGGGGGGGGTGGAGGGGGAGGGGTGGAGGGGTGTAGAAAGCCGCGCTTACTGATTAAAACTTGGCCAGATGCTAGAACTTTAAAGTTTAGAAGGTGCAAGAAAAACATTTTTAATTTTTGTATGAAAATAAAAATTTAAGAAATATTTTTTTTTCTTGTTACAGATGTTGTTGTTGTGATGTAAATAGTATATTCCCAAAAGGTTTTCAGTAAATTAAAAATGACCCTGTATAGATATACTCACAAAATTAAATCTATTAATTAATAAGTAGCTTTTTCGTTTTACTTGCACACTTTCAGTAACTTAAAAACACATAACCCTTCTTTGTCTTTGTTTTATTTGTACCTACATATTAATTTTGTTAATAGTGTCTGTGGTCGGAATTCAAAGTATATCTGTGAAGTATTGCATAATATTAATTGAAACACAGAAGTATCATTATATCTCGTACGCAGTCTACTCCTTCGTAGATTATTCGTAGATTTTGTGCACAATTTATGGGACAATATTTTTCGTAATTTAAGTTTTATTGCTCTTTTTTACCTAACTCCGGCGAAACCCAAAGTTTTAAAGTAATTTAGGATAAGAAATTGTTAAATAAAACCAAAAATATAAATATAAAAATTTGTAACAGACAAAAACTAAAAAGCTGGAAAAATCTGGAAAAATATATTTACAAAAATAAAAATCCGACTGTGTAAAAAGTGAACTAAAAAAAAGAGAACAAGTTGGTGAAGGAATATTGTATTATGCAGCCGATATCTCATTAGCGTCCGGCAGCCAGTCGGGCGCGAAGCCAGCCAGAAACGCATTAGTAGGTGGCCCACTTCTGTAGACTGTGTACAATGCGGGTTGCTCCTGGAACTTCTCTGACAGCAGAGTTGACCGTTGGAACAGCCCCATGGTTGTTGTGATCTGCTTCGGGAGACCTGCCGTGGTTTGCCGGGCATCGTGGTTGAGTGGATAAGCGATCCTGCAGTGGTAATCAATAGTACAGTAATGTAATTATATAATTATACAGCAATGTAATTATGTAATATAGCAATGTAAATATATAATCTCAATATAAAAAAAGGGTTATGCCTGGAACAACTTATCCAGCAAATAGCCTCCTCGGCATTGCTGGGACATACGCCATTTTTTGTCGAA